TGTTTTATGGCCTGGGAAGTTTGGCCCCTTTGTTGCAAGAAATAGTGCATTAGTTGGGCCTCTCCAAGTGATGTTGTGTCCTTTTTCAAGGCCTGGATGCTTATGCCTCTCCCAAACCAAAAGAGAGATCCCTGGAGAATGCTTTTTTTCGCCTCTTTTTGGTCTTTATGGCTTTGTCGTAATGAAATTATATTCAAGAATAAGACTTTTGACTCCCACCAGATTGTTGATATTATCTTCTTACGCCACACGCTTTGGTGCAAGTGCAAGTGGCAGTTGGGGCATATTTCATATAATATGTGCCTTACTTATCTTGTTACTTCCGCTGTCAAGGGAGAAGAAAGTAAGCTGAAAGTGAGCGCCACTTGGATGCCACTTCCTTACGGCACGCTTAAGCTAAATATCGATGGAGCAGCCATAGGTAAACTCAGGCCAGTTGGTATAGGTGTAATCCTTAGGAACCACCAAGGTGTCATAAAAGGTACTTTCTCCCACAACATTGGCATAAAAGATTCAAACTTTGCTGAATTTCAAGCCATTCACCAGGGTCTTAAATTTTTCCTTGCCTCTCCATGGGCCTCCAACTCTAACTTGAAAGTTGAAAGTGATTCCTCTAACGCCATTCTCTAGACGAGAGACCATAGCAAAGTTCCCTAGCGTATGAAACTAATCTCCAATGCCATTGAAACTCTTTCTAAATCTATCATAAGAGTCACCTTTAATCATATCAGCCGGGAGATAAATTCAATAGATGACGGTCTTATTAAAGTTGGGATATTGAGAGCTAATAACTTTAGTACCTTCCTCGAGTCACCAGGAATGGATCTTTCCTCTAAAGTTTAGTTATGTAGAACAATTCTAAAATGTACAAATGATTCACTTTTTCTGTTCGCACATCAGATTGCTTCTGATGCTTACCGATCCTTGTATGTGAGGATGCTTTTGCTCTTTTGAAAGCTGTTTAAACTGTTATTTCTTTAAAAGACTTCATCAATAAATTTACCTTTAAAAAAAAATGTTAAAACAAAGAAAGTTTTCATTAGTCGAGATGTAGTGTTCAGTGAAGACCTTCATTGGAATTGGATGAAGAATCAAATTGCAGAAAATAACAATGATAATGTTGTGGTGAACCTGGATGTTTTTGAAGAAGAAGCAGGACATGAGTTAGATGATAATGTCAATGACATACCAATAAGAGGAACTTGATCTTTACAACATATTTTTGAGCAATGTAATGTTTCTATAATTGATCCAAGTTCCTATATTGAAGCTGCATCTGATAAACAATGGAAACTTGCTATGGAGGCTGAAATGACAATGATCAAAGGAAACCAAACCTCGATTTTGGTTGATAGACCAAAATATCAAAGAGTTATCAATGTAAAGTGGATTTTCAGAACCAAGCTAAACTCTAATGGCTAGATAAATAAATTGAAAGCCAAGTTAGTGGTGAGAGGTTTTCCTCTCCATGGTGTGGATTTCTTTGAGACCTTTGCTCTGACGGCTAGGCATGAAACGATTAGACTTCTTATAGCACTTGCAGGAAGGGAACAATGGAGGATTTGGCACATGGAGGTTAAATTTGTGTTTTTAAATGGGACTATAAATGAAGATATTTATGTCAAGCAGCCTGAAGGATTTGTTGAGAAAGGCAAAGAAGATAAAGTCTATAAATTGATCAAGGCTCTTTACGGTTTAAAGTAGGCACCAAGAGCTTGGTATGAGAAAATTAAGGCTATCTGAGGAGTAATAAGTTCTTTCGCAGTGAAAGGGAACCCACCTTATACGTGAAAAGTTCCTTGGGTAAAATCTAACTTATTGTCTCAGTTTATGTAGATATATTTGGAATTCCAAGTTTTGGAATGATCCTGAACCCCTCTTTCAGTTCCTTAAGCGGATTTGTTCCTGCCGAAGTAGGCAATCTTAAAATGATTCAAGCAATAGACGTGGCAAGTAACCAACAATCAGGGGATATACCTGTCACAATTGGTGATTGTTCAAGCCTATTGTATTTGACTATGTCTAGAAATTCATTTCAGGGATCAATACCAAATTCTCTAGCCAAATTGAAAGGAATAGAGTATATTGACTTCTCCTCAAACAAACTCACTGGTGTCATCCCGACTTCTTTAGAAACTTAAGAATTCTTGCAAGTTTTAAACCTGTCCAGGAGCCAGCTCTCGGGAGAGGTTCCAAAAGCGGGGATTTTCAGAAACTCAACAGGGGTTTCTCTTTCTGGAAATCTGAAGCTTTGTGGTGGAGTAACAGATTTAGGACTCCCAAAATGCGATTCTCCAGAAAAACACTCAGGTGATTCAAAGGTAAAAATTATACTAATAGCGTTGTTTGCATCTGTCGCATTCGTCATTATCTCCATGTTAGTCCTTTGGTCCGTTAGAAAGAAAGGTTCAGGGGTCCTTGACGGTAATGATGATGCTAATTCACGGGAGGGGCATCCAAGGCATAGGCATCACGATCTTAAACTCGCTAGCCGAAATTTCAGTTCAGAATATTTGATCGAGAGTGTAGCTTTGGATCAGTTTACAAGGGATTTTTTTGTGAGAGAAGTTTGGCAGCTGTCAAGGTCTTTAAACTGGGGCAACATGGAGCTTCTGAGAGCTTTCTAGCTGAGTGCGAAGCTCTTCGAAATATCAGACACTGGAAACGTGTTAAAATTATAAGTGTATGTTCAGCTGGCGATTTCAAGGCATTAGTCCTTCCGTTCATGCCAAATGGAAACCTGGAACAGTTACTTCACCCTAGAAGTGAAAACTGTGAGGTAGAAAAAGCTCTTGACATAAACCTGAGATTGAAGATAGCTCAAGATGTCGCCTCAGCAGTTGAATATTTGCATCATGATTGCGACACCCCTGTTGTGCACTGTGAACTTAAGCCAAGCAACGTTCTCCTGGATGGAGAAATGTTAGCTCATGTTGGCAATTTTGGACTCGCAAGGATCCTACTTAGGAATTCACCCAAGGCTCATCTTAGTAGTTCCCTCGGACTAAAAGGATCAATTGGCTACATGGCTCCAGGTGACGTTTTACATTATGTAACTCCTTTTTTTGTTTTTTTCAACAATGATTATATGAACTGTTTTTATTCCCTCTGTTAAGTCTTCCGAAAAGCTGACCATATCTAGCATTAATGCAGAATATGGGATGAGGGCAGGGGTCTCAACCTGAGGAGATGTCAACAGTTTTGGCGTACTGGTCCTCGAGATGTTTACAAGGAAAAGACCCACAGACAATCTGTTCACTGGCGATATGGATTTGCAAAAATGGGTTTCAATGCATCTGCCTGACAATTTCCTGGACATTATTGTGGATCATGAACTTCGGCAAAAAGAATGGAAGCCATCACATGCTGATGGCATGGCCACCGTGTTAAATATTGGTTTGATGTGTGCCAGGAAATCACCTGAAGAACGACCTACCATGAGAGAGGTCTCTGCAATGATAAAAGATGTCAAGGCCAACTTATCTGAGTAGCTAATCACATGCATCACGCTTGCTTCGATATATTATATAAGTATAATCTGTAACAAATAATCAATATTAGAACGATGTTAAAATTCAACTTAGATTGACTTGGCATTTCTTTTCCTTTTCATACTTATGCAAACCTTAGATATTGTGACTTTGAATTACCTCCATTTCACATTGGAGGAAGACTAAAGGCCCAACTTAATGAAAGGACGCCAACCAAATCATCAATTCACCTTTAAGTCAGCTAGTTGCTATCTCTAATTATGAATTTATTTTTAAAAGATATATAACACGTATATCATTCTATTTTTAATATATTTTACACATAATCTGTGTGATTAAGCATAATTTTTTTGAGGAATTAAAACATATTCTAATTGCATTTATAAGCAGAGAACATATTTACCTTTCCAGACAGGCTTCTTTTAAGCCCAAAGGTCTAAATATCAATGAATTCAGGTCTATGGTTATAGCAAGTTGGGCAAGTTCCCAATTCAAGAAATTTTAGCATTCAGAAAAAAGAACACTAACTGATTGAATTAGGTCAGAGATGGTGAGCCATTAGACAAAATAGAATTGCATGGAAGGGTTTGGAACTGCAAAGTGAAAATGATGGCAATCCTGGATTTTCCTTCTCAAGAAAAGGATCACAAGGTCAAGAATCAGGGCCACTAGCTCACATCTCTGTCAAGTAAACGCCCAAGCTACAGATAACAATGGATGAGATAACGAAAGTTGTCCTGGCCTTGTGATATTTGCACTTGGAAACCCGAAAAGAATGAATGCTTTTGGCTTTTAGTTTGCCAGGTTGCATTATTTATTTATTTATTTTAATATTTTTACATTGAACAGACTGGAGTTGCTATTATCTTTCCTATTTTGGATTCAATCTAATTTACTCTGGGAAGGGTGCGTCTTCCGCAAGCCAAAGTTGTGGATAAGAAATGCTGTAAAAATAAAATTCTAGTATCGAGTATCTTAATATTGCTTAATCTAATGAAATAATATGATACAATATTTAAAAGAAGTTTTGAATTGTATAAAATAATTTAAATAAATTTTTATTTTTTATTATATTTAATTAAATTTTTATATTTTTATTTTAAATTAAATAAATCATCATAATTAAAAATTGATTAACTATTATTATGTAAAATATCACTTGTTATTTTTTTATACTCACATGATTAATAGTAATATTAATATGACAAGTAAAAAATATCACATGATCATATCATCATATCATATTAATATATCGATCATTATTACGTCACGTAACATAGAATGTTAAATAAAATTTTAACTAAGTCAATTATTAATCATATACTCTTATTTAATTTAAAATAAAAAATTAAAAATTTATGTAATTTTAAATAGAATACAAAAAATTAATTTTTTATGAAATAAAAATAAAATTTTATTTAAAATTTTTGAATAATTTAAAAACTTCTTTAACCATTGCCATCCCAAGTGTAACAGGCCCCATATTCCAAAACCAACGTAGCAATAAAACTCCAGAGTCTTTATCGTGCGGCCATCAGCCAATTCGCAAGCCAATCCACGGGATTTCTCCCACTGTTCTCCGCACGCCCATAACTTGTCCTTATAAAGCTCCCCACCCAACCAATCTTCCATCTTCAAATCCACAACACTCCAAGAACTGTTTTGTTGAGATTTTGTTTTCAGTTTCATTTCGTCTTGTTGCCATTTAAAGCCCATTCCTAATTCTGATCTCAGCCGTTCAGTCATGGCTACTGCTGTCTCAGCCGTAGGAGCTGTTAACAGGGTGCCGGTACTATGCTTTTTCCCGCTCTATTTTGTTTTCTTGTCCTAGTCATTGCCGTAGCATCTCTCGACTTTGTAGACCTTTTAACTGTCTCTTTTATAGTTTTCATCGTCTTTCAAACTTCTGGGTGTAGAAGAAGAAAATGGAAAAAGAATTAATTTGCAAACTGTGAATTCTTTTCTTAAGGATATGGAATCGGTTGTTTTGTTACAATCTTGTGGTGCGGTAGTAAAAAAGAGAGTGTCTTTGTTGCAGTGGAACTTGAATGGCTCTGGGCCTGCAGCAGCATCACTTCCAAGCTCAGCATTCTGGGGAAACACTCTGAAGAAGGTTACCTCCAAGATCAGCCACCGGAAGGTTTCTCCAAAGAATTTCAAGGTTGTTGCTGAATATGATGAGTCAAAGCAGACCTCAAAGGACAGGTGGAAGGGGCTTGCCTATGATGAATCTGATGACCAACAGGATATTACAAGAGGAAAGGGAATGGTGGACACTGTCTTCCAGGCTCCTATGGGGACAGGAACTCACCATGCTATCATGAGTTCCTATGACTACATCAGCCAAGGCCTTCGCACGTAAGTGGCTAATTAATTAAGGAATCTCAAAATTGATGTAAGTTTAAGACTACTGCATGGAATTGCAGTGTGAGATTGAATTTTGACAAGGAACAATATTGCTCAACTCTTTGTAGGTACAACTTGGACAATACTATGGATGGGTTCTACATTGCTCCTGCATTCATGGACAAGGTTGTTGTTCACATCACCAAAAATTTCTTGAACCTGCCAAACATTAAGGTGTGTTGATAGAATGCCTTAAGATTTGTTCAATCAGCTATATAATTTTTGTTGAATATCAAGAAAGTTGGATAATTTGTGAATAACTGTGACAGGTGCCTCTCATCTTGGGTATTTGGGGAGGTAAAGGTCAAGGGAAATCATTCCAATGTGAGCTTGTCTTTGCCAAGATGGGAATCAAGTAAGTTAATGTCTTTTTTTTTTTACTATTATTGCTTTCTTCACTTTGAATCTTTGATGATTCAGGAAAATTGTTGAAAAAGAGGGAGAAAATTGAAAAATTTTGAGCCTATTAATAGTTCTCTTGACAACATGTTTGGCAGAATGTGCTTAATTGACTTGTAAAAGAGTAAAACTTTCAAATATTCATTTAGATATTTATGATCCTTGCTCTTTGATCCTATGACCATGAGTATACAGTCCCATTATGATGAGTGCTGGTGAATTGGAAAGCGGGAATGCTGGGGAGCCTGCAAAATTGATCAGACAAAGGTATCGTGAGGCAGCAGACATCATCAGGAAGGGAAAGATGTGCTGCCTCTTCATCAACGACCTTGATGCAGGTGCTGGAAGGATGGGTGGAACCACCCAATATACAGTCAACAATCAAATGGTGAATGCTACCCTGATGAACATTGCTGATAACCCAACATATGTTCAGCTCCCTGGTATGTACAACAAGGAAGAGAATCCCCGTGTTCCTATTATAGTCACTGGTAATGACTTCTCCACATTGTATGCTCCTCTCATCCGTGATGGTCGTATGGAGAAATTCTACTGGGCTCCTACTCGAGAAGATAGGATTGGTGTGTGCTCTGGTATTTTCAAAACCGACCGTGTTCCTCATGAAGACATTGTCAAGCTTGTTGACACTTTCCCTGGACAATCTATTGGTAAGCCTTCCTTACCTTAAGGATACCTTCTAATACGTGCAAAAATGAAATTGATGGGAGAATACTAATATGCACACTTATTGCAGATTTTTTTGGTGCCCTCAGGGCGAGAGTATACGATGATGAAGTGAGGGGATGGGTTTCAGATGTTGGAGTACAAAATGTTGGGAAAAGGCTTGTGAATTCAAAGGAGGGACCTCCAACATTTGAGCAGCCAAAAATGACTCTTGAGAAGCTACTTGAGTATGGAAACATGCTTGTCCAAGAACAGGAGAATGTAAAGAGAGTCCAGTTGGCTGATAAGTACTTGAAAGAGGCAGCTCTTGGAGATGCTAATGATGATGCCATCAAGAATGGAAGCTTCTATGGTTAGACCCTTGATCCTAAAGGGCTTGCTGGTGGCTTGCATCTGGCTTTAGGATTATAACTAAATGAAAACAATAAAGGATACAAGAAGATTATAATTAAGCTTTTCATAATTGTTTGGATGCAGGCAAAGCAGCTCAGCAGGTTAATCTGCCTGTCCCTGAAGGCCGCACGGATCCATCAGCAACAAACTTCGATCCAACTGCCAGAAGTGATGACGGAAGCTGTGTTTATAATTTTTTTTTTTTTGAATAAGTAAAGATTTTCATTGATCAAGACAGGAAGTCTTTGTAATTTACAAAAGAATCTGACTTGAGACAGCAGTCAGTTACTAACCTGACTTAACAAAAAACAGCCAAGCCAAGGACAATACAACATTTGATCTCTTGAACAATCACACATCAATTTTACTAGCATCCAAAAATCTTTAAACGCACCACTTATACTTGGAAACAGTAAACTCCTGTTTTTGTTCCTTATTGGCAGCAACAGAAAGTCATAAACCACAATCACAAGACAGTAGGCATCATTCAGAAAAAATATACAATAAATTCCTTGATCTTTCCACCCCGTCATTGGCAAGGCTGTCGGCAATGTCATTACTCGGTCTGGGGATGTGTTTGATATCCCAACCCAGAAGCTTTAGGCTTATTGACTTAATTTAAGAAACAATATGCGGGAACCTCCATGGGGCTTCAGCAAGCTTAGAAATTCAAAGTACTGCATTCATGGAGTCACTTTCCAAGATAAGACTGTTCTTTATAGTTAAACATGTCATGAAGAGAGAATAATCTCTAAGAATGATTGATCTACTCTGTTGAATAGAGTAGTATCTTAATTTGTACTTGTGTTTTAGCATATAGTCTTCTTTGTTAGCATAATTTAATCCCTATAGTTATACAACTTAATTAACATTTTAGTGTATAACAATTACAAAGACACTCTCTCTTCATCCATATTAATGTGTGTATCTGTTAGGAATTGAGAGTTGTGAAGTTTCCATCAGTGAGATGATTAAGTAAATCAGACCCATAACTATGTGCTACTTGTATGGTATCCGGATTTGCTGTTGCCCCTGCTTTCTAATTTCTAGAGGGACCACCCGGAAGGCAAGGTCATGGAATACCATGAAATGTACGGTAACAAGCCAACGGCACGCCATAGGATCTGACACCATAGATTGACCTTGCCAACTTTCTGCCCTGGGCTAGAAAATGAACTTGGACCGAGCCCACCCGATGTCTCGATGTAGCTTTAAATGGGCCAACCTTATTCTTTATACTTCACCTACCGATTTGTGCAGAAAAAGCTGTGGCCGGTATATAAATGACCAACGCTATTATTATCAGTAGTGGTTAAATAATCGACCCATTTTTTAAATAAGAAGCACATGCTGAATTCTAATTGTCAGAAGGGTCCTGATAAACCTTGTCCAAAAAGCATCCCATGCTCCAACAATTTGCAGTATCTGTTAAAACGTTCAGCTTAATTTAGGGCGAGTACGCTGTTTCAGCTGTCTCCTCCCGTCGGCACTGAAATGTCCAAGGCACAGAGAATCCAGGATGTAAAGAAATGAATCTGTGAACTCATCTCTTCTGCTTGGTTTCTCAGGATTCAGGGTTTG